ACCCGACTTAAAATGTAATAAGTAGTGTAACTTTTCAATTACTTTATTAAAGTAATGTAACTGATTACATATGATTATTTTTTTATTACTTTTCTAAATGTCTAATGTTTTCAACTGTTTATCATTTTCAAACATGTAAACCAGGCAGGGTAAACCTTACAGTAGTACTGAACACTGATTACTGTCACACTTTTGAAATCCTTCATCACTTGAATTAAGATTATATTTCAGTTTTAAAGTAGTATTTCACTTTTACATGGTGTTTGCATATAAATGTATCTTAGCAGTGTGTGGACACAACCACCCTACAATGATAAAAATTCATTCACTCCTTTTTTTTTAAACCCCCAAAATCCTAAACAGTCTCAATTATCAAGCCGTTTTGATTTTCTGAGCAGTATGATGTCATATTGTTCAGGCCCCGCCCACAACTGCTGATGTACTGTCCAATATTAGCATATTTTCGCCCTCAGCCAGTTGTACGAAGTCCATCATTTTCTCCACGCTCCAGCAGCTGTAGCGACAATGTCTTATAAGCAAAGCAGGTGTTTTGTAGTTTTGTGGTGTAGAAGAACATAAGAATCTTAATTTTCTCCCGACATCATCCCGACTCTCGCCACTTAGGACGCAGTGCATTAGTTTTGTTTTTAATGGTAAATGCGCCACTGAATACACCTAAAACAATAATGTACAGTGGAAAATAATGTGTTTTTTTAACCTTAAACCGCATAAACACATTTCATTACACCAAATACACAAAATAATGTTCTTTTTAGCAACATCATATGACCCCTTTAAATTTCATATATAAACGTGGATACTGGTAAGAAGCATGCATGTTTATTATTTATAGATTTTGCATCCACATTTAACACTATTCAACCACTTCTTTTAGCTGAACATTTGTTGTCTGAATTTGATGTTACTATAAGGGCTTGGTGGCCTGGATTTTAGATTTTCTGACCAGAAGATCTCAAATAGTACGTGTAAATGGAGAATATTCCCGGGAGCTTTATTCGTCAGTGGGTTGCCTCCAAGGTTGTATTCTTTCACCTCTTTTATTTATTTTATATACGGATAGGTGCAGAAGTCAATATCCAGGCAGACACATTATAAAATATGCTGATGATACAGTGGCGTCAGAGAAACAACAAACAACAAGCGCTACTCTACACTGCTCAAAACTCGCGTTTGAATCATCAGTGGCAAATTCTTGAAAACATACTTACATAAATATGAAAACATACTTACAGACTGTGAGTCAGAACAGCCGGCATTGTAGTCTACTCTCCCAGGATCAGGAAACAGTCCTCCATAAAATGCGCTGCACACATCTGAATATTTGGGTTGAACTGTTCTAGAACAGTGTTGTAAATACAACTTAACCACTGATTTCTAGTCGTGTCCTCTTTTGGAAGGCCAAACAAAGTATTTTCGCTTTCGCAAATGAAACACACAGCGTCTTCACAACATGGCGGCGGCGGTGGCAGTAAAGTTACACCTTCTTTCTTTGCGTGAACATTTGGGCGGTGTTATGCATATCTTCCCACATCGTGATGTAGACATGTGGGGCCGTGTTTAAACATGGCGTTTTAGGAGGGCGTACAGTTGGGTACAGTTATTGATGATAAGCCAAGTTGTGGAAAACACAAAATCAAAAGCACAAAAACAGTTTTATTTATTGAGGAAGCTTAAGTCCTTTGGTGTGGATAAATCTATTTTGATAATGTCTTATAGATCTTTTATTGAAACTGTCTTGACTTTTGCAAAGATTTGTTGGTTTTATGGACTAAATGTTCAAAGTAGATCCCAGATGCAGAGCATTGTTAATTTGGGGTCAAATATTACAGGCTCTGTACAGTTGGGGGTATCTGCTCTGTGTGAGAAAAATGTCCTTAGGAAGTCCTTGACTATAGATGATACATCTAACATTTTGTAATCAGAATTTGAATTGCTCCCCTCAGGCATGCGATATAGAGTGCCCAAGTGGAGGACTGATAGAGCTTCTAGATCTTTTGTTTCAAATGCAATATTGATCGTAAACAATTATTTGAAACATAAAGATAAAGGTGTACTATGAATTTTAACATTATTTTAATATATGAAAAATGGTGCACTGTTAATGCCCGGGTTTTGTTGTTGTGGTTGTATTTGTTGTGAGGATTTTATTCTGTTTTGTCACAATGTCTTATAACTTTTTGTCTGTGAGGCTGATGCTGCATAAATTGCTCTGTGAAGGGACAAATAAAGATATTACTATGACTACTAATTGGCATTGTAACTAGTAAGAACTGAATTGTAGAGCTCTCTAATTCAATTGTTACTACTAAGAATTGCATTAAAAAGCTCTCTAATTTGTAAGAATTGAATTGTAGAGTTCTCTAATTGAATCTAATAAGAATGTAATTGCAGAGCTCTGTAATTCAATTGTTAGGCTGCTAGTAAGAATTGAATTAGAGAGCTCTTTACTTGTAATTGTAACTAGTAAAACTTGATTTAGAGAGCTCTCAAAATGGCTTTGTTACTAGTAGGAATTTAATTATAGAGCTCTCTAATTGAATTGTTACTAGTAAAAATGCAATAGGACAAGTAACGCTGGGAATATTTTAAGATAAAACGTTTAGGAACAAGATTGCATGGGTGATTGAATCTGTTAGCGATCTGGCTATTTATTTAAATAGCCGAAACATAGGGCTTCAAAACCGTGTTTAGTTAAATTAAACGTAATTTACCACAGCCAGCAGCGCAGACTGCTTTTCATCACGGACAGTTGAATTTCTAGTACTTGGAGAACAAATTAAAATGTATAAAACATATTTTATTTGTGAAGTGAATAGTCCATCTTCAAAAAGATCAGGGGCTTTTGGCACACGCCATTGCTCAGAAAGTCCAAAAAGTAGCAGAAAAATGCAGAAAATCTCTAACATGGACAAAGGCATCCTGCTATCGCTGCAGCTATATAGCCTATAAAAAAGGTCATTTCTAGTAATTTACAGGTATATGAATAATGCAGTGCTGATTGACATAACATTTATTACAGTATAAACCAATCATAACATTTATTAGAAAAACATATTGGAATGAAAGGAATAAAAATATTATAGAATACAAATTATTGGTTAAAGTCTAGCAGTGCATTTGATTTCTTAGCAACAGAAAAAGAGATAAGAATAATAAATCCTGTCAATTATACAAAAGTCAGGAGGTTTTTATCTTTTATTTATTTATTTTTTTTGACTGCTGCCCTCACTTCTGAAATGATGGCTACGTTCCTGAACGTTACGTCTGGTATATTAATGTGAAGTGATATAACAACAATATTTCAGCACGCTGCATTATTTTCCTCCTGATTTTTTCATGTTTCTATTGTATTCTGCTGTGAGTAAATGAAAAAAGAAAACTTTCATATATTCTAGATTCATTACATGTAAAGTAAAACATTTCAAAAGTTTTTTTGTTGTTGTTTTGTTTTAATTTTGATGATTAGAGTTTACAGCTCATGAAAGTCAAAAATCCAGTAGCCTATCTCAAAAGAATATTTCCTAAGATCAATCAAAAAAAATAAAAAATAAAAAAAAAAGGATTTGCAAAACAGAAAAGTTCAAGTTCTTTAAATTATTTTCATTTCTGCACTCAATACTTGATCGGGGCTTCCTTAGCACAAATTCCAGCATCAGTGAGGTGTGGCATGGAAGCGATCAGCCTGTGCTCCAAAATCTCTTGGTAGATTGCTGCATTGATTTTGGACTTGATAAAACACAATGGACCAACACAATGGATGTCACAGCACCCCAAATCATCACTGACTTCGGAAACTTCACACTGGACTTCAAGCAGCTTGGATTCTGTGTCTCTCCAGTCTTCCTCCAGACTCCAGACCTTGATTTCCAAATGAAATGCAAAATTTACTTTTATCTGAAAAGAGGACTTTGGACCACTGAGCAACAGTCCAGTTCTTTCCCTCCTTAGCCCAGGTAAGATGCGTCTGACGTTGTTTCTGTTTCAGAAGTGGCTTGGTAGCCCTTTTCCTGAAGACGTCTGAGCGTGGTGACTCTTGATGCACTGACTCCAGCTTGCACTCCTTGTGAAGCTCTCCCAAGTGTTTGAATCGGCTTTGCTTGGCAGTATTCTCAAGCTTGCAGTCATCCCTGTTGCTTGTGCACCTTTTCCTACCAAATTTCTTCCTTCCAGTCAACTTTGCATTTAATATGCTTTGATACAGCACTCTGTGAACAGCCACCCCTTTCAGTAATGACCTTCTGTGACTTACCCTCTTTGTGGAGGGTGTCAATGATTGTCTTCTGGACCATTGCCAAGTCAGCAGTCTTCCCCATTATTGAGGTTTCAAAGAACAAGAGATACCCGTAATTTATACTGTAGGGATGGTCATTTAATGAAACTCAAATGTAAATATTCTGATATTTTGAGATACTGGATTTTTGACTTTTCATGATTTTTGATAAGCAAAATTAAAATAAAACAATTTTGAAATGTTTTACTTTATATGTAATGAATATAGAATATATGAAAGTTTCACTTTTTGAAATAAGTTACAAAAGAAAATGAACTTTTTTCACGATATTCAAATTTTTTGAGATGCACCTGTATATTACTATAATGATATTTAACATGTCCGTATTGCTGTGGGTAGAAGGAGGATCTTTAGGAATTCGTGGTATGTTGAAAGTAATTTGTTAATGCTTTTACACTTTTACATTTCCTTTTAATGATCGATGGTTGAAGGGTGAGTAAAATAATGCAGCCTCAGTTTTTCAAAATGCTTATTATTGCGTTCATAGAGCGAATATTTTGCTGATTGTTTACAGTGTAAACGGAAGTTACTCCCATAATTTGCACAAAGCGTCATGGGGCGTAGGAAAAAGGTGGATAGACAGAACTAAAATGATTAATATTGTGGTGTCTACTGTAGTTTCGGACACATTGGTACGTTTCGGAAAGAAGGACTTTTATTCTATTTCTGCGGTAGTGTGTCGACCGGAAGTGGGATCTGGATCGGAGCGGCTGCAGTCAGTTCTCTTCATCACTCTCGCGCGTACGGCCATTTTCCTTCAGCTCGAGAAGATAGTTCCCGCAGACATGGCCGACTACTCTAACGTGGCTCCACCGTCCTCAAACGCCGGTGGAGGGATGAACGATGCTTTTAAAGACGCCCTTCAGAGAGCCAGACAAGTGAGTGCTTTGAAAGCGTCCGAAAGTATTTCGTATCTTCAAGCTTTCCATTTAAAATGAACACGAAACGTAACCAGCTCGTTAGCTAACGTGCTAACTTGAGGCCTTGATGCGTTCCAACAAAGAGGTTTCAATTGTGTGCATTTTTTCTTCTATTTTATTTGCTTTTTAGTGTTTTATTTTAAAGTTTAAGTGAAGCAGAATGTGTTTTGTGAATGATACGTATGTTTCGCACACGTTCCAATAAGCTAAAGAGCAAATTAGTAGTTGAAACTACGCATTATTAGGCATTTAACGTTATGTGAACTCTAATTTACGTATACAAAACATTTACTTCTAGCTGGAATTAGGTCCCTAGACGTAGGATGACATTAATAAATGTTCTTGTTAGCGTTTCTTTTCATCCGAATGTATAAATAAGCCGCGTGCAACTTCCTACATTTTTGCTGCTAACAAGTCTACCTAGTTTTGTTCAGGACAACAGTAGAGACTCTGTGCAGGCCACACACTGTTACAGTGTTGTTATAATCATACACCGTTGTCTAAAAACTGTTTTATTTTTCATTTTATTTAAAACTGTTTATTTTGACCGTGCATTTCACTATATTATTTTAGATAGCTGCAAAAATAGGAGGTGATGGTGTACCCCCCTCTCCATCATCCAATGAGTTTGGTTATGGTGGACAGAAGAGACCTCTTGAAGATGGAGGTAAGCTCATATGTGCCTTGTAGTGTCTTTGTTATTGTGCATAATGGTCCAAATAAAACACATTATTATACGTGTTTAATCTTCTTTGATTCTTGACTTGTGGTCCTGCCAGACAAAACCGACCAAAGGCAAGAAGTCTTAACTTTTTTTTTTCCAATTCAAATTCAATTAAAAAAACTTTATTATCTATCAACCAGTGATAGAAATTGATCTTAGGTTAAAAAAGGCTCACATGTACACAATACACAATATTAAGACACAAGATCCTGACAAAACAGTTTATTCAGAATAGAAATTGCAGTGGGAATAAAATAATTACTATAAGCCTTCTTTCTAGCCAAAGGAGTTCTAAGCCGACAACCTGATGGAAGTATCTGAAAAAGGTAATGCAAAGGATGAGGGGGTCAGTAACAATAGAAGCTGCTTTCCTACTTACAGCACAGTTATAGAGATCTAAAAGTTTAGTCTGTGGGTACCCAGTAATTTTAGATGCCTGTCGGATTACTCTTGATAATTTCTTCGTTTTCAGCTGAAAGTTGAGCCAAGAAACAATGTTAAAGGTTATAACTGATTCCACAAGTGACCGACACACTGCTGTTAAGATATCATGTTTTACATTAAAGCCCTTTAGCCTTCTCAAAAGAGATAATCGCTGTTGAGCTTTCTTATAGACACTATTTGCCTGCTGTGTAAAAGACAAATGCCTGTCAATCTCAGTGCCCAAATATGTAAAGGCCTCAACCTGCTCCACTACCTGCCCCCCCAGCTCAAGTGGTTCAGATAGAGGATGATCAGTGTTAAATGAACGAAACCTTCCACATTCCAACACATCTCCTTAGTCTTATATTTAACTCCAGTGAACTTTCTTGGAACCAGAGGACCATATAATCAACAAATTGCCTATATGTAACCAGGGATTGCTCCTCTTTCATACAAGCCACCAAGGCCATGTCATCAGCATATTTCAAAAGTGACATGCCATTGATATCACACTTGATTTCGTTTGTATATATAGAAAATAAAATAGGCGATAACACAGCCCTGTGGAACCCCCGTATTCACAGTAATACTGTTAGATTTAAATCCACACAGCCTAACATGTTTCGTTTGTATATATAGAAAATAAAATAGGCGATAACACAGCCCTGTGGAACCCCCGTATTCACAATAATACTGTTAGATTTAAATCCACACAGCCTAACATGATGAGATCTATCTTTCAAAAAGTCTTTAATCCATAGCACAAGAGTTGTATTTACTTGTAGTTTCTGTAGTAAACCAATGTTCACTGTGTTAAATGCAGATGTGAAATCCATAAATAAAATCCTGACAAGTGAATTCGAAAGGTCTAAGTGTCTAGTCACTGTATCTAAGAGTTAAGCTGGCATCCTCAACTCCCCGTTTTGACTTGTAAGCAAACTGAAGTGGGTCCAAACACTCGGCTACCTTGATCGTAAGCTCCCCCGCTACCACCTTCTCCATACATTTACAGAGAATTGAGGTAAAAGTCACAGGTCTAAAATTCTTCATCTCCTTGACATGAGTTTTTTTTTGGAACTGGAATAATGGTTGTGTCCTTCCATGCTCTCGGGACATACCCAGTGTTCAAGGGCAACTGGAAGAGTTGAGCCACCATCCCGCATACTTGGGCCGAACACTTTTTCAATAAGCGGCTCTCAAGTCCATCCAGACCAGGAGCTTTCCTTGGCTGTAATTTGGAGAGGATGGAGAAAACCCTTTTTTCCTCCACACTGATTGGTGTAGGGGGATTACTTAAAGGGTTAGTTCACCCAAAAATGAAAATTAGGCTGTTTTATTCACCCCAGAGCCATCCTAGGTGTATATGACTTTCTTCTTTCAGACAAATCCAGTCGGAGTTATATTAAAAATTGTCTTTGATCTTTCAAGCTGTTTAATGCCACTCAGCGGGTGTTGCATGCA